TCTTTCTTCTGGTGGTTCACTGGATTATGAAAACCTCAACATCTGAAGGAAAACACGGAATAAAATGGACAGCTTGGAATCAACTAAACCATTTGGAATTCACAGATGGCCTAGTCCCCCTATCCCAAACACAACAACAAATTTAGATGAAGGTAAATAGAGTAGCAACAAACACTAAATCAATGGGCGTCAACATACACAAATTAAAAGCAAGATCCTCAAATACAAAACTGACAATACCAACCCAATCACTCTTGATGGAGAAACACTGGAAGATGTGGAAACTTTCACATATCTGCATGCACACCTTCATCGATGAACAATGAGGATCCGGTGTAGACATGAAGGTGAGGATTGGCAAAGCAAGAACAGCATTCCTACAATTGAACAAAATATGGAACTCAAAACAACTGTCTGTCAACCAATATCAAAGTCACAATCTTCAATACGAACGCCAATGTAGTCAGTTCTACTGTATGGAGCTGAAATTTGGAGAACTACTGCAGACATCATCAACAAGGTAAAAGTATTTATAAATAATTGTCTACTCACGTTACTTAATGTCCGTCAACTGGATACCATGAGAAACAGCCTTCTATGGGAGAGAACAAACCAGCTTCCAACTGAAGAGCGTATTAGGAAAAGACGCTGCAGGTGGATAGGATGTACATTACGTAAATCATCAACAGGCAAACGCTCATCTGGTATTTTGAAGGGAAATAGAAAAGAGGAAGGTAAAAGAACACACTGCGTCGAGAATTGAAAGCAGGCATCAAAGGGACGAATAGCAACTGAGAAGGATTTTCCAGGTCATAGTTGGATGGAGGGGGGGTAACAGGTCTAAATAAGTATGTAAGTGTATTAAATGCTGCAGTCGGTATATTTCTTGTAGACTGATTTTAGGACTATTGACACGGTGGAGATTTGTAGCTCAGGTGGTTGATTTTGAACAAAACTTTATCATAATCAGAGTATACATGCAAGTTCTATATGATGACTTTAAATAACATTTTTACGATTAAAATTACAAAAAATAAAAATAACCAATTTTTTAAATTCATCATATCTATCCATGAAGTTTATTTAAAAGTAGTAATTAAAACAACTGAAATTAACATGTAAGTTAACAGGTTTGAAAGCTGAAACAATATGACACAGGTCAATGTATCTTCAACAGAAATCAATTGTGGATAATTTTTAATGAGATTTGTATGATATAACAAAGAAATTAATATGTAAAATTAAATTATACCAAAGAAAATAATCGTTTTTATTAATTAAACATAATTCATTAGGTCTATCAATTGTACTCATGATAGATTAACCATAAATATATACCATATATATAAGCATTCTATGAAGAATCAATATGCTTTTTAAAGAAACTCAATGTGTAATCTGTCTTTTATTTTCTTTCCAATCTCACTTTCATATTATGCTATACTTTAATTTTATACTTCATTTGGAGAGTTATTTGAAACCTATTTATTGAAACTGATATCATCCATGTTTCATTCATGAACTTTTATTTAAAGCAATGAACTACATAGTCGATCTATTTGTGCATTTACTCCCATAATTCAGTCCCTTGTATTTCATTTTTCGACTTATAACCGTTTTTCTACCAACTTCTAAGGAATAATAATCCTAATAAAGATTTTGTATGACTTCATTTTGAGCATATTTATGTCCACTAATTTTAAGTACCATGTTAAATATTTCATAACTTCCTACTTTTATTATTATCTGTGTCTTATTGAACTCAACTTCATTGACTAATTATACTAATTACAACTCTAGGTCATTTACAGTTGATGAGAAGTCCTGAAATGTTTTTCTGTACTAAATACAGCTCACCCATCCATAAAAGTCACATGTGAGAAAGAAAATTGGGGTAAATTAGCCTTCCTAGATGTTCCGCTTACAAGGAGAAAAGATGGATCGCTAAAAAGAAACATAAACAGGAAAATGACCTGGACGGGTCAATATACTAACTTTTTCAGTTTCGTTCTTCTACAACAAAAAAGGAACCTTATCAAGACACTACATCATAGAATCAAGACTATATGCACTATGGATACGATTGAAGATGAAACTAAGACATTGTTTACAACCCTGAAAGAAAACGGATATCCAGAGAAATTTATAAATAAAACTTAGCCAATAAAAGACAGCGTAGAGAATACCCAACGGTAAATAGAAAGCCTCTATATATACGCTTACAATTCAGAGGTGACGCGCCGAGTGAAATGTCAAGACTCAAGTTGAGTAGATCAATTCAAAGGACTTTTAGCGCAGCTAAACTACAACAAGTATTCTCCAAACGACCAATAATCACTCCGAGGTTGAAAGATAAATGACCTAGACTAGCCACCTCCTTCTGTATCTATCAATTCAACTGCTCCTGTGGAGCAAGTTATATTGGCAGATATTCTAGGAATTTGTACATTCGGGCTCGTGAGCACCTACCCGTGTGGTTAAGCAAAGGTGTTGTCAAAACTGTTAACAGCTCCATCTTAGACCATTTAGTTCAAATAGGACATACAGCCAACATGGAGCAATCTTTATCGTGTCAACAGCAGTCTACCTAATTCCGTCAGACTGCGAATCCTACAGATAGCTGAAGCAATTGCTATTCGGATCAAAAAGCCAGAGCTTTGTATCCAAAAGAAGTATGTTCAGCCACTCCTTTTACCCTGGTCAACTAGCTAATAATCAATCTTAAAATATGGTGATGTAATCTGATTAATGTTCATTTTATGTCCCAAATTTATTATTATTATTATTATTATTATTATTATTATTATTATTATTATTATTATTATTATTATTATTGTCTTTACACTTGATAACCCCTTTTTAATGAATTTATTCAATATCCACCCCTGAATCTACTATATTTGACCTAATTATTTTACATATTACGCAATTTCCGATTTGTAATCACAATATTCTCTCTCTCTCTCTTACGCCATGTTGACCATATTTATTTTGATCATTATTTATCTCACAATTTCATTTTGCTTATAAACTGATTCAAGTTAACACTTCATACTAGTCAGCCCCAACATTAACAATTTTATTTTATATAACAAACAACAATTCTTGATTCACATATTACAATTTCCAAATGTTGTATTTTGCCTTAAATTTGACCAATTTTATGAATTATTAATCTGGATATGAGATAATTGTAGAACCTTGATGAGAAATTATTTCTTATCTTATATTTTATCTTATATGTCTTGATGAGAATATTTAATATACATTGAGATATATTACTAACAGTTAATATTTATACTACAGCGAATTCTTCTAATACTATACTCGTTAATTTCGATGTTGAAAATGTGTTAGCTTGACTTACACCAATAACTAGGGCTTAAAAAAATCCTAAATAAATGTTTCATCTAATTAATAAGAACTTTCGTCTAGATTTGAATGAATAGTTTCACAATAATTGGGCACCGAATTAATGTGAGACATTAAAGAGGAAGAATGTAATTGTAAAATCTCAGTGAAAGAATTTGAAGTAAATCCAACGTTTCACCTGACAATCTGGTCAAAACTTTTTCATCTAATTTACCCTAAACTATTTAACATTACAGTTTCGGATTATTTTGTTATCAAGATAAAAGTGTTAATAAATCAGTTATGATTATACAGTGTATTGAATGACAATTTTTAATTTCCTATTCATTAAAGTTAAAAAATTCCAAAAATATTGTAATATTTAGACCGGTTAATTATCACGTGGCTCATTCACCAATCGGAATACGACTTATACAATCTTATTACTGTGCAAAACCAATGACCTTCGACCGGTATGAGCAGCTTAGAGTCCTTCTTGGTCCTTTTCCTGCCTAATTCTACCGGTTGAGTTCGGAACACTAATACTAGCTTTCACTATACGAATCATTTATTTCAAACATACCTGATTTATATACAAGCTAAACGGACCACACCACATTATAAAATAGGAAATAAAATTTGTACATGATCAAGCCAAAAAGTATCTGTGAACGTGGGAGACTGTAATTAATAAACTGGACATAACTCAAAAGTAGATCGTATAATAATAGTCTATAGGTCGGAATAAAGCTTATAATAAACGGAATATAGATATACACAATCTAGTTACTGAATAGTTATACAATAAGAATAATATTAGTCCATTAATAATTCTCAGAAGCTACCCGTATTTTAATCTTCACTAGGATATAACAAATATGTATATGAAGGTATTAATCACTGTTATCCAAATGTTTCTCTGAAATTCGTGTTTAAATAAATGGTGGTTAAGTTGAAAATGATACCACTTTAAATGTAGCTGTAGATCATCAAGGTATATGATATATGTTAAATGATTGGAGGCTTACTCGAGTTAGACGGGAATGATGTGACGAACCAGCTAACATCGAAATCATACTTTGCGGTCAACATCTAACGTGGATTACCCCTTCGACGTATCAAAGTACTATGGCTACTTTGAAGACCGTATAACATTAAGGAAGTTATTAAAGAAATATATTAGTAAGAATGAGTACAGAGAAGATAGCAAGACCACCACCTCATGCGCCAGTCCATGGAATACGATTCACTGATGCGCGTTGGTTGTCCGTGGCCCTGACAGGGATCGACAATCTTTTTAATATTTAGTGATCCAACTGCCGGATGGTTTGGCTAAGGCTCAGTGACATTTCACTGACCCTACATAGTCAACTACTTGTGTGTGTATATATCTGTGTATGTGATATAAATAAGAGGTTAGCTCAATGTAAATAGGCATATAATTTTTAGTTAATAAAATAATTGGATAATTTTCTGTTTTAGGATAGGCAATGATGTAATAGATTGTATTCGATTTGTTACAAGAAATGTGAATACAGCTCATAATATCGAATTGATGTTTATGGACTAACTTGATATACATCAACATGACGCAATCAAATGTATTCTAGGTCATAAGTAAATAGAATTCCAAATTTATTTGGTTTGATTGGTAAGACAATGTATATATGTACTGATTTATATTCTGTGCACCCATAAAGGATTACTTATAACTTGGAAATAGTAAGTTATTTGCAGAATTTTAATTGACAGTCTGGACAACATCTTCAGTGCCTATTTTATGTAGAAGTGAGCCTTACAGTTATTCCATAAGTGTTATATCAGTGTATTCTGATGACCTAGTGTGTGACAGACTGACTTTTTAGGTTTTATTGTATTCGTTTGTCCCTGTAATAATGTTAACTGTCTTTTAATATTTAATCCTTGTGACCTGGTTTCTTGTATGTTTGTGTTTCCAAAGATCCCTTATTTATTCTGTCGACTAAAACGTTCAAATATAAGAGTTTGTTTTCTATTGTGAATTTGACGTCATCGAAAATCTTGATGACCAACTTATGATTACTTTCGAGCAGATCTATTGCCATGATAACGAACGCGTCATTTGCAAAACGTATCCGAATCCTTACCTTGACTACTGATGGAGCTATAATCTTGTGTTTTTGCATCGTAGCTCCTGAAATTAGTCTTGATATGGGAGATCACGTTACAGTTACTTTGTGCAGCCTGTAAATCAGACGGTTAAACAGGTTATATGTTATTAGACACAGGTTTTTGAGCTTTCTTGCATCTGGACACCATATTTGTGTATGTCCGGTAAGTTGTTCGTTGTTGCTGAACAACAGAACTGCAATATAATCTTCTATATCAAGACTGATCTCAGGAACTGTGATGCATCATGTGCTTCAGGCCAGATAAATTAATAGCATTTTGAATTTATTTTAGAATAATATAATGTTGAACCATATTTTTTCTATTAGATCATCGTCAAGTTTCACTCTTGTATACTGTAATATGTTCATGTGTATATGTGAGAATATTGAAACACTTTAGACAATTTGAGAATTAGTGACCTTTGCATATATAAGAAACCATTAATATATGAAACTGTCCTAGAACAAGCGATGATCAGTTATCTGTCAGGAAGAATTCAAATGTAATTATAACTGTTATATATACATAAGAACAAAGGGTTTCACTTGTATGCTCAGTAGAAAGAAATGATTCAATCCAAGGAAGTTAGAGAAATTTGTTTATGAACGGATAAATTCGATATCACAGAACAAGCTATGGTCGATTTTTCGAATAATATTAATTTCACTCATCTGATAAAACTCTATAAACCGTATTAAGATCAGACATGTTTGGTGAAATGCATAAGGATGACTGCCCTCTATGTATGACTTCTTTCCTAGTGTAATTCACACTTAATAGGACTTTTCCTTTATCAACGACTTACTGTCCAACTTAATAAAATTATAATCCCTACATTCTGTTCAGACAGGTAATGAATAAAACGTCTTTAAATCAAACACAAATAGTGTACGAACGAACACCTGAATTCAAAATTCCAAACAACACCTTGCCTATGTATTCAACTCCGCTCTACTCATCGAATTCAGTTAAACACAGTGAACTCTGTCAGTACGACACACCAAACATACCACTTAATTTGGCTACTTTATCGCTAGAAGATTATGACAAAACTCCAACAACTGATATCTCAACAAGGAGAAATCGATATTCTCGAAAAAGCTTACTTTGCGAATTACCGGTTTCCGATTGTTCACATCGAAGGAATTCGTATATAGAATGGTGTCACCATGATTTTATTAATGATGATCATTGGCGGATTGTACGCTATTATTTTGTTGAATCTAAACGTTTACAAATGAATAAAAAGGCTTATTTAGATGATGAAGTGAATCATTCCACCAGGTTATATCGTATTTATATTGATGAAAATGGCAATAAATATTCATTTTTTTAATCAGTTTTATTATTTTCGAACAATTAATTTGTATAAACTTTGATGGTAGTTTTATTTTAAACATTATTTATCACATAAACTAATGTATTTTCGAAGTGGCTTTTATGAAATAAACACTCTTAACTTCTTGATGTTTTTGAAAGTCACTGTAATTTTAATTTCGCGTAGACGAAGATCATTTTGTATGACAATTGCGAAGTTTATGTGAAATGGTACATATATTTTGTTAAACTGAAATATCATTACAAACTCATCATGTTCCAAGTCAAACAAGATTTATATATCTGAAATGACCTGCTTGAATATTTGGGAGACCTGTTCCTTCCATCTAGATATTTCAACAAGTTATATGTTTCCTTGTTTGTTTTAACAGGTCATTATGTCAATTAATTTCATGATCTATTCAGGTGTGCTTGTGAAAAGTTTATGACCTTTTGCCGTACATGTTACAATCGGAGACATCGTAGTGGCTAGCAATGTGCATTGAAAAGAATGAATATTATTCAGATGTCGATTAATAAACTGGTAGCATCTAAACTTACTTACTTATATAGGCCGCTCACCAGCATTGTCCATACAACCCTGTCTTGGGAAATCCTTCCCAGCTCCTTCCAGTTCTTATTCATCCTTTTTATATCTGCTTCTATTTCCCGGCGTAATGTGTTTTTTGACCTTCCTCTTTTCCACTTCCCTTCAAGATTACAAGTTAGCGCTTGTCGCATGATGCAGTTTGATGATTTATGTAATGTATGTCCTATCCACCGTCAACTTCTTTTTCTAATTTCCTCTTCAGTTGGAAGCTGGTTTGTTTACTCACACAGTAGGCTGTTTCTCATGGTATCCAGCAAATGTATGTTGAGTATGAGATGGTGGAGAAGATTTGTAGCTCAGGTGGATGTTGAGTATCTTGAGTAGACAATTATTTATAAATAATTCTACCTTGTTGATGATGCTTGTTGTAGTTCTCCAAATTTCAGATCCATACAGTTGAACTGACTGTTTTGACGTTTATAATGAAGATTGTGACTTCGATATTGGTTGACAGACAGTTGTTTTGAGTTGCATATGTTGTTCAATTGTAGGAATGCTGTCGTTGCTTTGCCCATCCTCGCCTTCACATCTACACCGGATCCTCATTGTTCATCGATGAAGGTGTCCATGCAGATATGTGAAAGTGTCTACATCTTCCAGAGATTTTCCATCAAGTGTGATTGAGTTGGTGTTCTCTGTGTTGTATTTGAAGATCTTGCTTTTAATTTGTGTATGTTGACGCCCATTGATTTAGTGTTTGTTGCTACTCTAGTTATCTTAATCTGAATTTGTTGTTGTGTATGGGATATGGGGGCTAGGTCATCTGTGAATTCCAAATGGTTTAGTTGATTCCAGGTTATCCATTTTATTCTGTGTTTTCCTTCGGTTGTCGATGTTTTCATAATCCAGTGAACCACCAGAAGAAAGAGGAAGGATGAGAGTAAGCAGCCTTTTCTGTCTCCGTTCCTTACTTGGAATGCATCTGTCAGATATCCTCCATGCACGAACTTGCACTGTTGTCCGTAATATGAGTTCCGGATAATGTTGACAATCTTCTCAGGAACTCCGTAGTGTTGGAGAAGTTTCCAAAAGGTTCTCCTATCTTCACTGTCAAATGCCTTTTCATAATCAATGAAGTTTATGTATAGTGACGAGTTCCGCTCAACTGCTTGTTCGACGATGATCCGTAGTGTCGCAATTTGGTCTGTGCATGACCGATCGCTACGGAACTCAGCCTGTTAATCTTGAATCCGGGCGTCTACTGCGTCTTTCATCCTGTTCAGCAACACTCTGTCAAAGACTTTCCCTGGTACTGACAGTAACATCTGAACTTGTGTTCACTTAATATTTATCGTCAATATCGATCAAGAAATCAGAAACGGAAACTCGCTGAAATAATTTATGATGTGAATTCTATATCCTACCAAAATTATAATATTGAATAAGGATAATAATAATAACGATATGTATCGTTACCAAGGTTTGATTTGATAATTTCGAATAAATTGATTGTTATAAATAATAATAATAATAATTTTAGCCAAGTCGCTATAATATTTAACTGTGATTGTACTGAGAATACTGCCATAGCATCTTCTAAGTAACTGAAGCCCTGGTTTTGAACAAAGCTTTGGTTTTGATAATGGAAAACATCGTTGAAGTTGTGTTTTGATATTTTTGTGGTTTAGTAGTTTGTTTACTACCAACTTTCTTTAATATTTTACTGTATATTACTTTTAATTAACAAGTAGTTTAATAAACTGTTTCTTGCTTTTAATGATGACTTGAATAATCGTATTTCGTGAATAATCTCATAGACTAATAAACTATTTGCTCACCTGAAACTAGTTCAGAAAGCAACAATATTGTATTCTATGGCAGAAGCGAATTACCTTCATGTTATCAAATTGTTTCTCCGAATTAAAATCTTGTTAACTTGTCAAATTAAGATGTCTATTTATTTAAATATCACATTCGGCATATAAACGGAATCATTGTTCCCATATTCGACTGAAAACTCATAGATTAAGTATAAAGTCTAGTTTAAATGTGAATCTATGTAACAGCTCTTTAAAGAAATGTACAGTTTAATGAAGTTATACAGATTTATGTAAGGAACAAATGTAATTCGTAAGTAGTACAAATATGATGCATAAATCCAAAGCCAAATATCACATCTCTCTTACTTTGATAATTTTTCAACACAGCAAGAAAAAAAATAAATTTACTCAAATGCTCAGAAGTTAAGATACAAGTCCAGTGATAATAATAAATATATAAGGAGAACAACTAGAGTAAATAGTTCGAATGAAAAGTAGTTTGGTAGCATAGGCTATTTCATAAAATCTTCTGAGATCTGAATATTGCACAGAGAAACATTTATCATTCAAATGCATTCACAGTGTTTATGAAAGTTTAACTCCCTCAGAGACATGAAACTAAATCATAGGATTCGTACGTTTAAAAAGTTCCATATGACGATAAAACACATGCCTATTGCTGCATAGCCTCCAGTGATTATCTAACTAAAATCAGTCGGCAGCGTGAAATTGAGAAAAAAATGAATCACAGTTAACCATACATCCGAAGGTAAAGTTCCATATCGATCATCAGTTAATTCCTCATAAGTTAGATATCATAAAACTAATGATGAAACATTTTGTTTGGAGAGATTTATTTAATTTAAAATTCATCTTTATTTAATGGATTGGTTCTCAATTTAACATCATTTTCGTGATGAATATCATACTTGAACCGAATAAGAATGTTATTATGTATATTGTATGACAAATATTCTTTCTAAGTGACTTAAGCAAATTTAATAACAAATATTATGAAATGACCAAATAACAGATAAAATGAAGTGATCACCAAACGAAATAACAAGTGTTTAAATGTTTTGAAGATTTGAGTTTAATATACTGATCGATTTAGCTTATATCTGGGTGACTTGGTTCAGAATTTATCTTTTAGAAAAAGGAAAGAAATATGTTAGTTTTACGGTATTTAGTTGACAATGGTTGTATGATAGGTGAAACTAAGGTCTTCTTGGTAATTTGTTATATTCTATTCTATTTTGTAATCGATTTCATACTCATCTCTCATCCACAGTGGAAACTATGGGGATTGTAAATAACAACCCTAGTATTTATATGCAAAAAAAATTTTTTATTCACCTGATATCGAGGGAAAAGCTGGCCAAAGATTTTATTAGTTCCGACCCTCTGTCATTTTAATGCGCTCCTTTAATGATTCTTTATTACTTGTGGATCCATATCGTGATCAATTACATACTTCACTCTTTATTACTGGATACTTTTAGATGGTCATTATTCTCAATAAACTCTTCTGTCTCAAGGATTTGTGTACTACAACAACAACAACAACTACTACTCACACTACTATTACTGCCACTAATAACGTTTTCTGACTTTTCACAAAGGACAGATAGACAAATAGTTGATGATCCCTAGTTTTTAAGTGCCTAGACTATACCTTGTTTTCAACAATGCTCTCATAATGACTGATGATTAATTTTTATTACAACTTCCATTTATGTTTTTTTTTACCATGGATCTGTCAAATAGGCATTCGATTGTAATACTTTTGTACAAGGAATGAACTTCATTTTGTGAGATTCCAGACTTTCATTATGGATTGTATTCATTTATTGATTGACTGGGATCGTGAATGCGCACTGCTGAGGAGTCCCACAAGACAATGAAACAGTTATCCAGTGCTTCCAGGTTTCTAAAGGTGGTCTAACATCAATCGGTTCATGATCTCAATCATAAACGGATAACTTGAAAGATCATTGATCATTTATAAAATCCTAAATGATTTCATATTTATGATACATTTATTCAATAAATAATAAGTCACATTTCTTGTTAAGCAGATAAAATTTTCTCCCTCATTAAAACAATAGAACATAAGACTATTAATTATAAGTTCATAGTGAAATGAGAATCATAACTTATATGAATTATGCAAATATAAAATAAAACGACAATGTAAATCTCAATAAGTATATAACTAAAAATATTTTTATAAAAAAAAGATACAAAGTAACATTGATAGTTACACTTTATATATGAAAATTATATTTGAAATAATCTCAGCAACTGAAATTTAAAATAATTCTAACGTTTTTATCCAATAAATTTGTCTGGACTATCCCAAGGTAATAATCAAAAATAAAACATCTGAAGAAGTTCAGACAAGTTTATTAGACGAAATGATGGAATTGTTTTAAATTTTAGTCGTTGAGATTGTTTCAATTATAATTTTTACATTATAATGACTTTTCTGTACTTGGTGCCTAATTTTTGTCAAACTATTCGTTCTAATATTAACGAATATTGGTAAAACACTTTTATTTTTCAATTGATTTATCTCAAGTTCCATAGTTACTAAACCAAATTAATGATCCCAAGAATGAATACGTTTAAGGTATCTTTTAAATTTATAGTCGATCAATTCAAAATAGATTACTGTATCATATAACAACTTCTGTCATATGATCTATGGAAATTCCAAAAATATATCATTTGACAATAAAAATTAGATAGGTTAGTTAACCAATCTGGACCA